AGGACCACTCCAGCAGCCGTACGATGGTCCATTCAAGGTTGTATCACGAGCGGAAAAAAGTTCGTGGTATGTAGTTTCGGAAAAAACGTCAAAAGCCCAATAAACCGTCTAAAACCTGCATACGTTGTTTCCGACCTGGACGAAATTAATACCAACAACGAGAGAACCATAGATATCCAACAGACTCCGATCATTCCAGAACATCCAGCCTCGCAGGAACTTCCATTTCAGACGGAACCATCACCAATTACGAAACCACCAGTCCAACAGACACAGACAACGTCACCACCACAAAGAATAACGCGATCAGGACACCGCGTTCGATTTCCTGACCGTTTACAAGTCGAGTTCTCGTAACTGTATCAGTGGCAGGGGGGTACTGCGGCGGAAAAACGTACCTTTTCTCTAGATATTTAAGCCTTTTCTTTCGTTATTTGACTTCTTTTCAATTTCTTATCTTGTGCATACCATGGTTTCCTTTCAATCTAAACTATATTGTTCTCTCAATCACTTTTACCTAGAAATCCAACTTTAATCATACCTGCATGCACTCCCATACTAATATCTGGTTTTACCCTTAATTGCTTTCTCTTGAACTCTATACTGCTTAATTTTACATATATCTATAAACCAGTGTCTTCACCCTCTCTCTCACTACTTTTCCTTCTAGAACATTCTATCAAATTTACTAACAACACTGCCCTATAAATACTCCAAAAATTTCATATCTTCACGCAATCTCCCGTCTACGTTCTACCGCCTCTACTACCGTTTGTAAGTGTTGTACTAATACTTGTGTTGCCAATTCATGGTCAGGACAGGTTTTGGGTTCTAATTCCTTCTGGGTTTCTTACAAATTTATTGTGCCTTAATGCTCTGCTTTACTGGTCATGCGATTCCTTATTGCGTCTAGTTAACGCCCTCCACTGCTTGTCACTTATTTCAGAAACACCCCGTATGTACAACAATATTCACCGTAACTGGTTGACAGGCAATGAGACAATTCACACCTTAACCAGTAGACTTAGAACATTGAAACGTCCTGGTATAGTTTTTATAGATACACATTAGATCTTCAATGTATGCTTGGAGGGGATGATGAATACCTTTCATAAAACTACAAAAGGTAAAGTAGTGTTTCTGTGAAGGGGTGAAGATTAAAAATTAATTTTAAATTTAAAATTTTTTGTAATTTAAAAAAATGAAGGATTTAATTTTAACTAAAATTTTGTGTAAAATTCTAGTTTCTCTTTTCTTTTGAAGGTTTGACGAATTAAATTTTCTTCTTTTTCTGTAAAACAGTATTTTTCATTCGAAATTTTGCACAAAGAGAAGCACTTGAAAATTAAAACTCACGAGGTAAGACGTTGGAAGTGTTGTCACGCGGTATAGTTTCAAGGAGACTCAAAAACTGTTTTAGACTTTAAGACATAGGTATTTCAAAATTCGTTAAATATTTCATAATTATAATGTTGAAATTCTTTCGAAATTCATAAAACAGATATCGAGTTCATTGCAAAATAAGCGTATTATTATTATAACGAATTATCTATGTATACTTCATTTACTTTCTCTAGCGATTTGTCCCTTCCAATGTCTTGGATTCGCGCTGGCAAAATCGTAGGTAGGGAGAAAAAAGCTCATTATACTCTCGCCTCTTGTTCATTAAACATACTTTTTCATACAGTGCCTGCCAAAAGTTTTGTTCAATCATGAATAGCAGTGCTAGTCGAAAACAAGCGTTAAAGCCTTTAATATGTCTTCAAATATAAATAAACATCTCCTTGATATTTTCAGTAATAATTGGTACCAATAACAGCACATTTGAGCAATGCAATTGTAGTGCATAAAATGGTCAATTTTTCCGTGCAGTACTGTACGGATTATACGTTCCTCACCGGTTAAGAATTTGGCCAAGAGTTATCTCCTTTCTTTTCTGGCCTAGTGCTGTTCTTTTCTACTTTGCGCCGGTCAAACTGAAGGTCACATCGCTACAGAAACTAAACGAAGTTTACAAGCAGAAATTAACGCTATTTTGATAGTTCTGGTTATTGTGAATATTATGGAACTTCATGAGATCATCGAAAAAGACAAAAAGGGTTTCAAATTAGTATTGCAAACTTCTTTTACTAAATCAGCTAAATCCAAGAAACTTCTAGAACCAGTGAATGACCCATGGTGAACTATGTGCAAATAATCACTGATACATCAATAAGTTTGGCGCGTGAACGGGGATCGATGGTTTAACCGCAATAAATCGACTCGGGACAAAAAAACTCTACCGACATAACCGGTAAGAAACCCTAAGTGTTAGTAGCACTACCTCCTGGTCAGGATGACTGCTACGATCGTATCAATATAAGTGAATTTGTTAACTTTTACGGTGTATTGATCTACATTGAAAGGAAGATCTTTTTTATAAACCTTTTTCTACAATTTTCATTTGTGTTGTTGTCTATCTAGATTACCTGACAACTAACTCTAAAGCTATTTGTAACTGTCATATTGTCTTTTTCAATTTCATATCCGTTTTACTTTACTATATAATAAAGTTCATTTTAGTACCTTACGCCCAGTCACGATAAAATAATAAAAACACATTATAATCAGGTAATTAAAATAAATAATTAACAAAAAACCTAAAGTAACAATTTACCTTGCGACAATATTTTTCTATTTAATTCTCTGTAGGTATAATTCCATATAATATGGTTGTTATTGTTTCCAATCTCGCGTTTCTTATCATTTTAGTACCTTACTACCAANGGAGTATTCGACTAATTAATGAAAATCAACAAATAGCACCAGGAACCAATGCCACGCTTGTAGGATGGGGATTGCAGTCAGAAAATGTTAATGACACTTATACTGATGTACTTCAAGCAGTTTCTGTTCCAGTTATCGCACAAGACAGATGCAGAAGTATGCTTAACCTTACCGAAGAGTACCTTACCGAAAGAATGCTGTGTGCTGGTTACGACGAAGGTGGCAAGGATTCCTGTTCCGTAAGTAACATGGCTCTGCTATCAGAGCACGTCATATTATATCGAAATATGTTCACGATAAAATAATAAAAACACATTATAATCAGGTAATTAAAATAAATAATTAACAAAAAACCCAAAGTAACAAAATACCTCGTGAAAATACTTATCTATTTTAAAGTACCTACTTTCTTCGCGTGTTGCCGTCAGCTTATTAAATACTTTCGTTATAATAAACGTTTTAAAAATGTATTAGTAGCACGACCATTCGCGTAATCACATTTTCCTTTTTTTTTTACGTACTGTATGTCCTTATAAATCAAATGCCTCTTTTTAATTGCCCCACGAACGTACAAAACTACATTAAAACTTAAAACATTTATTGAAGGCTGGAATTATCCCCACACACCCCAAGCTAAACACGTCGACATTAGGCGCACCTGTGGTAGACGGTTGAAGACATGACCAAACTTCGATGGTTAAATATTACGCAAATACGACCGTATAGCAAAAAAAATATATAGGGATAAATTATTTTATTACCAACAACCTATATCATTACAGCGGTCATTTAGATTCAATATTTCGAAAATGTAATTAACCTAGAAAATATTACTTTTGGAACATAAAAAATAAAATTAACCTAAACAAATTCAATAATAAATAAGCGAAACACATAAAAATGTAATTAATAACTTAAATGTAAAAATCTGGTCTCTCGCCCAGGCAGTAAAATGACCTTTTCGCTGGTACCTACCAAATACTTATTTACTCTTACCTTACATCCCTTTACCTTAATCATATGAATAAAACTGTGATGATTTCTTTTCGATGCAATTTAATTTTCTGCACATAGAGGAACACGTGCCTTTAATTTGATAACCATAAAACATGAATCGGCAGGCGATGATGGTGTGTGTTTTATCCAATGTAGCGTAATGGAACCAACTGCATCAAAAAATGCGTTTATTTTTTATTTTCATTGATAAGTTATGTTTCTATATTATTTGCTAGTACGCTACTGTACTATCGGTATTATTACAATATTTTACTCCTTCTGAAAACTTATTTGTGTATCGGTTCGGAATGACCTAACCAAATATGCCATTAATGAGCAAGTACCCAGCGTTGCCAGCCTGTACGATAATTATGGGGACATACGATAATTTTGCTTCAAATACGATGTACGATATCGTAATTCAAATTTCTATTAAACGTACGATAATTCGTGCTTATGGTATAAAAAATATTTTCAAATAGTAATATGTAGTGGGACTATGATATGTAGAAAATACCACAAATGGCGCGGTAAACGCCATCTGTGGTATTTTCTAAAACGCGTTGTTAAGGCAGCAGGTAAAAGTTGGTCTGTGTTCTGTCGCAGCTGTCTGCGACGCGCTAATGAGATCCAAAAAGATCGAAATCGCCATCCGCGTCTCGCAGTTTCGACAGAATACAGACCATTTCGAATTATTTTATTCGACTATGATATTTGTTTCTGCCAACCTGTTGCCTTGTTTTTCTACCTTCTTAAAATCTTTTGTTAATAGAACAATATTATAATGTTAAAATATATACACTATATGCGTAGATATATAAATATATGTCGGAAAGTTGTTTATTTGTATACATTCAATAAAATTTAATTGTCTATGGACTCTAAAAAAAGAACTTTTTTCCAAAATGTTTAAAATCCAGTCCGAAATTAATTTTTCTATTTGAAGTTATTAGCCTTTCAGGAAAGTTTTTATAGTGTCATCTATTGATGGTATAATAGAACTGAGAAAACCACTGGGGTACACAGACTCTCTTTACAAATTCATACTCTCACGACTAGACTATTACTCAGATGCGCATGCGCAATAACGTACGATATTTTTTATGTTAATACGATAATTTTTCCTAAAGAGCGCGATAATTCTATCTACTGAACCTGGCAACGCTGCAAGTACCTGTGCGACCTCTCGCCAGCTTCGTTCGTCCGACCTGTAGGTACCTATAAAAGCAAAAGTTCAACTTCTGGTTGATCATTCAGTAATCATGGCTCGAATTTTAACTTTGGCAGCATTAGTTTCTATCTCTCTGGGTAAGCATTAGAAGTAAACTTTTAGATGGTAGTGTGAGATCATATGTAATTTATATTTTTATGAAATCACTAACATTTTAACGATCGATCGATAGAGAGGTTAAGGGAGTGAATGCATTCTCGTTACACTAGCGTACTGAACAATACTGTAGATTATGACCTTTCGGGAAACATAAGGTGATATTTGTATTTTTGGTAGTCGGGATCTAACTCTACATGTTATATGTATACTTTTTTGGGTACAATCTGAAGATCACTGCAAATATAAAATGCCCAATATTCTTGTGCGAGTGAGAAATAATTTTAATAGACGCCTTGAAGCACTTTTCTACTACGCATTTTTAATTTCGAAAAATTTTTGTAGTTCCCGTATGTATGTTTGTGTCTAGTGGTGGTCCCGGCAATAGCAACTCGTCTATAAGAGAGTTGTAAATCTTCAGAAAATGATAACAGAGTAACAAAAAACATATTTTTCACGACAAAACCAACAAATCTATTCATATAATAAATACATAAACTCTGTAGTAGCAGTTGATTACCACTATAGGAGTCCGTGCACCTTCATTTCAGTTTCAGATTGAAATAAATTCAGTTTTTAATCGGGCCGTCGACTTCAATGCAATTAGGGTATATTTGGTAGCTCGCAGTATATTCTCTTCCCTTTCTGATTGCCAACTAATTTCTCTGTACGATATAAGAGAACTCTACGATCAATTTGTGATACGACGGGACTTGAACCGTGACGAAATTCTTGTACAAATTAGAGTGGGTGAATCGGGTTGCGAATTTCGATGATTTAGGAAGACAGACCATAGGTTTAACCATAACGAGGGAGTTCTTAAACAGAAACCAGGCTAAGACAAGTCCTTGAAAGGGAGCAGCAGCTCCTTCAGTACTCAGGGTGGCAAAGATCACGAGGATCGGTATGGCCTCTCCTGCACAAAATTTCGATGTGGAAGGCAACGGGAAATCACCGCATTATTATATCCCAAGAAAAAAAACTGAACTCAAATGATGGCGTTCTCTGGGGTAAAGCACTCGGGACATAAACTAGTGCCCCATGTCCCGGATGTCCGGGCGGGGACTACTTCGGAGGATTTTATCATTAAGTGCAATTGGGGTGGGTACAATATTTCACGAGTCGGAGCGTGGAATATTAGGACAATGAGGCAAGTAAGGAAATTATAAAATTTAAAAGTAGAGATGGATAGATTAGAATTAGATATAGTAGGTATTAGTGAAGTCCGTTGGCCCGAAGCTGGACAGTTACGGAGTAGAGACTTTAGAGAAATAGATACCGAATCGTTGGAAGGTAATTCGAGGGTAGCAATTGTAATGCGTGGGAAAGTAGGGCAAACTGTAAAACGTTATTTACAAAAAAGCGATAGGGTGGTTATGGTTAAACTAAACTTGAAGCCAGTAAAAACGGTTTTGCTGCAGGTCTACATGCCTACAACATCCTACAGTGATGAAGACGTAGAAGGAGCTTATGCAAATACAGAAGACGTGTTAAGTTTAGTAAAAGGGCAGGAAAACCTAATAATTCTAGGAGACTTCAAAGCAATAATAGGTGAAGGTAAAGTGGGTCCAACAGCAGGTTCTTTTGGATTGGGCAATAGAAACGATAGGGGAGATAGGCTGATAGAATTTTGCGATAAACATAACCTAATCGTCGCGAATACTTTATTCAACCATCATGTTAGGAGGTGCTATACATGGAAGATGCCAGATGATTTAGGGAGATATCAGTTAGATTACATACTTGTTAGGCAAAGATTTAAAAATCAAGTAAAGGACTGCGTGAGTTATCCAGGAGCAGATATAAATAGCGATCATAACTTAGTAGTTATGAAGAACAATCTTAAATTGAAAATCCTGAAAAAGAGGGAAGTTAGGAGACGTCTTGACTTGGAAAAACTAAAATCTATCGAAACGCGTGATAGGGTAGGTAAAAGGACAGACGAAATACTAAAGGTGGGGAGAGAAAGGAATTACAGGGACATAGATACAGAATGGAACTGCATTAAAACGTGTCTAAAGTCAGCAGCTATACTAGCTCTTATACAAACCGAAACTAGGAATCCTTGGATATCAAATGAGATTTTATGATTAATAGAAGAAAGGCGAAAATATAGGACGGAGGAAAAAGGGCAAAAAAGATATAAGGTCATAAAATGGGAAATAATTAGGAAGGGTAGTGCAGCTAAAGAACAGTGGATTGATAGGATATGTAAAGAAGTAGAAGAGAAGTTTGAAGTAGGTAAAACCGATGGGGCGTATAACATAATTAAAAGGAATTTTAAAGAGGTAGGATACAGTAGTAATAATATAAGAAACCAGGCAGGGGCCATATTGATAGGAAATGAGGAAAACGCAGATAGGTGAAAAGAATATTTAGAGAACCTTTACGCAGGCCCTGAGTTAGGAGATATATTAGAGAAGGAAGAGAGTGTGGAGATAGATAAGCTTGGTTATCCCATAATGAGAGAAGGGCTCGATATAGCATTAAAAAGCTTAAACAATAATAAGGCGCCAGGGGTAGATGGGATACAGGGGAAAATTCTAAAACATGCAGGACAAGAGGTTAGAGATCGTATGTTTAAGTTAGTTAGTCACATTTAGGAGACGGCAAAAGTCCCAGAGGATTATAAACGGAACGTAGTAGTAACATTACCTAAGAAGAGGGGCGCGGATAGGTGCGAGACATTTCGAACAATTAGCTTAACTCCTATGCGTCAAAAATCTTAACTAGAGGATGGAAAAAAGGGCGGAAGAACTATTAGGAGAAGATCAATTTGGGTTTAGAAGAAATAGAGGAACGCGGGAGACCATTCTAGCTTTACGGGTAGCAATAGAGAAAACGATAGAAAAAAGAAAGAATGTATACATAGGATTTGTTTGATTAAGAAAAAGCTTTTGACAATGTTAAATGGGGCAAGACGTTAAATATACTTAAAAATGTAAGGATGAGTTGCAAAGATAAAAGAGTGATACTTAGTTTGTATAAAGAGTAGCAGGCAGCTATCGAAATGGGGCTGCAACGGAGAGAAGCAAATATTAGGGAGGGAGTCAGACAGGAACGCACACTGTCACCTATACTTTTTAATAAAAACAGTACAACTGTAGGGATAGATATAGAGGAGCATAAGATTACTATGCTTAGATTTGCAGATGATATAGTAGTATTAGCATCTAGCAAGGAGGAGTTAGAGATAGCTTTAAATAAAATGGAAGCGGTATTGAGAAAGCAGTACTGTATGAAAATAAATAAAAGTAAAACAAAAATACTGGTATGCAAGGGAAGGGAAATTAGAGAAAAACCAATGCAAAGACGAAAAATTAGAAGAAGTGGTCGCTTTTAGGTATCTAGGAAGTCAGATAAGTCAGGACGGAAGGAGTAGTAGGGATATAAAGCAGCGGATAGCGCAGGGTCGAGTCGCCTTCAATAAAAAAAAGTCATTTATATGTTGGGGAACGGTTTATTTAGAAATTCGAAAGAGGTTGTTAAAGGTGTATGTTTGGAGCACAGCGCTGTACGAGTGTGAAACATGGACAGTGGGCGCGGCAGAAAAGAAAAGGTCAGAAGCGTTCAAAATATGGTGTTACAGGAGAATGATGAGGAAATCATGGATAGAAAATTAAAAATGAAGAGGTAGTAAAAAGAATAGGAGAAGGTCTAGTCAGAGACATATTAGAGGCAGAAACAGGAGTTAGGAGGAGTAGAGGTAGACCTAGATTAGATTACTGTTCGCAAATGGTTAAGGATATGGGTTGTTCTAGTTTTAGGGAAATGCGAAGATTAACTCAGGATAGGAAAGAGTGGAGATGCCTGTCCAATCAGTCTTAGGACTGATGACCTTATGATTATGATGAAGTAAAGTGCTGTCGTATTTGTTGAGTATAACAATAATTACGATGCTGCAGCTTGGGTAGTCTTCCATATCCTGGAGTTTAAGCGAATAAAAACGGCTAATTGCGTTCTATCATTTCTTAGTTTTTAATAAGTACTTCTTTTAGTGAGCAATCTGCTTAGTCAATATGAGGTTAGCAGGACAACTAATACTTTTTTGGAAAACGGAAGCGATGTTTCTTTTTATTCACTTGTGATTAGTGATTAAAAAACCACAAATATTTATACTCCGAGTTCGGTTTGCAAAAGTTGACCTGTCAACTAATGAACATGTCAAAAGATGAGTGAAAATGCGTGGTTCGCAAAATTAATTGCTATAAGCAGTACTAATGTTAATACAGGATAAGTACAAAGTATTTTTTTTGTACAGGAAATCGGCGCGTACTTTCTTACATAATTTTTTCCTTGAATGCATACACAGGTATCAAAACTTGTTTGATAAATAATTACAACGGCGCGGCAATGTTCACTTTTTGGTATTTATCTTGAAAAACTACGCAAAAATATTTACAAATAATTAATCAGATAGATTCTAACAAAAACATCACACCCAGCTGTCCGAACACAGCATAGTGTGTATTTTCGCAAAATCATCGCAATCTGCAATAAGTATAGTTGTGGTGGTAAGACAACTAAACATGTAAGTAATTGTTCAGTAAGATCGAGTACTGAAACTTGGTATGTCTTTACTCCTATATACAATTAAATCATTCGTAAACAATTAATTTATTTTGATGTCTATATAATTTTCCTTTATTAGCATTTCCTCAGAATGCCAAAATTGAACAATACGATTCATCTGATTCTCTTAGAATTGTTGGAGGATCCAACGCATCAATAAACGATTTTCCCTATGCAGCACAAATTACTACGGGTTATTACTTTTGCGGTGGATCAATATTGTCGAACGCATGGATACTTACGGCGGGTCACTGTTTAGTTGAGTAAGTACGAGTGAATTTTGTCACAAGTTAGTCTAGTGTTAATGTGTCTAACATAAGGGTACTATACATACCTATATTTAGCCCCGTTATAAGTCATCATCATCATCATAAAGTCATCAGTACTAAGACTGGTTGGACACGTACCTCCACTCTTTCCTATCCTGAGCTAAACTTCGCATTTCCCTAAAACTAGAACAGCCCACATCCTTAACTATTTGCGAACAGTAA